TTTTCATCGAGTACTTAGGTGTATTAAATTAATAACATTTCAGACATTGTTATAAATATTTTTATCCATTTCGATTTTAAAAATGTTCGAACCGTTTTAAATTCGAATTTGTTATTTCGTATTCGTATTGTATGCGTTTTAGTAGGGTATGCCATGAGAATGGACACTAAGAAGGGATTTTTCTAAATTCTCCCGCGGGGGGAGAGGGAGAGGATTAAGCTTAACCGGAAGAATGGCTTCTACTGTACTATTTTAGATGCGATTTTTTGTTACGTTTAGTCTTCATTAAATACTTAAGTGTATTAAATTAATAACATTTGGTTAAAAAATTGAAATATATAAATATTTTTATATATTTCAATTTTTTAACCAAATGTTCGAATCTTTTTAAATTATAGAACGATTTGTAAACGTTCCAGAAAATTGATCAAATTCAAAATAGTTTGTTTGATTCTCTGCAATTCTCATCATTCTCGGCGGTAGGTGTTATATAACAATTACTATGGTTATTGAAACACTGAATATAAATGGGGTTTGCTTGCAAAACCTCCGAAGGCGAAGTCACGGGTATCAGCTAGTTAAAGAATATATTAGTGTCAACTAAGTATCTAGGATGTTATTGTCCTTGAAATATAAACCATATTGTTATTGTGCATATGAAGAAAAACTTTTATTCTTTTATGGTAGACCGTAAGTACTAAATTTGTCAGAAAATATCAGTTTGGTAAATATTACATGCTACATAAGCATTTTTAGCTACTACTTGTACAGGAAAACACTAATTTTACCATTTTAGGATACCGTCTGTTTTTCTTTAGATTTTTCATAAGTTCAGTATATTCATTAAGTTAAATATATAAGTTCAGTTTCATAAGTTTCAATATATTCAGTGCTGCAGGAAGCAGGTTTTGGATAGCCTTATCTCAAAAAAAAAAAAAAATATTTAATAAAAGCTCTTGATCCATAATTCCAATTTTTTATTTGTTGAGTAATATTCTACAATCCTAGCAAGGTACAACGGTGTTTTGCAGTTTTGATTTATTAAAATCTGTCAATCTAAATGTGAAAGAGACATGAATTTAAAATACATTATGTCCTGTATGCACAATATTCTGATTTCAACTTATCTGCATCAAATTTGAAATTAATGCTCCTGATATCACAACTTTCCATAGCAAAATAATTATGAATATAATATGTAAACATTGAATGAAGGTATACTTAATTTTACTAAAATGTGTTGTGTACAGTACATCCTTGATAAAACAGTGGTAATTTGAAAAAATTGATCTAATCATGCTTCATGGCAGTTTCTGTATGTTTTTTAAGGTTTAAAAAGAATGTTTTGGTAACCTAAAAATTGGCATGTAGTTTCAATTCACTTTAAATTTAATTAACAGTCAAGATAATAAATAATAATAATAAATTTATTTATATTTAAAATGATTATTTTTAAATGTTTGGAAACATTATACATAAAATAAATTTAATGCCATTAAGAAGTAAACTTTAGATGTTATGGAACTCAAAAGAGAAGCAATCTGCCAATAATTTTGAAAACATTTCCTATCTAATTTACATACAGGTATATAGTGCTTAATGAGGAACTGCATGTACAATAGAGGACCCATAAGATTATAATGGAGTGAAAAGTTTTGTAATCACCTGCACCTTTCCTGTTTAATTATGTTATATACATAAAATTCTTATCATTATGTTACATATAGTCCATGCAAGTAAGTAGTACTGTACTATATATTAAAAATATATAGTAGACAACTCAGTATGTTGTAGCATACTGACTATATCATATTGGTTTGTCTAACTTGTAAGTAGTTTGCTTAATGTATTCCCATCATTAAGCAACAAATACCTGTATATGTAAATTAAATAATTTATATATATTCTATGATATGTAATATAATAGAAACAAAATGTTAAAAATAAAAAATATTAACAATCAACATTATAGAAATATGTTTTTTGCAGTATCTAATTTTATATTATCTTCTCAAAAGAGCATCTAAATTACGTTAAAGTATTTAATTGTTTTTATAAATCTATTCGAAAATAACATGCCTTATTAAAACCAACAAATGTTATTTTTTTTACATAAATATAAAAAGCTTCAGAAATTTTATTGCACACATTATAAGTATAAAAATATCATATAAAAATATATTTTTAAACTTCAATATTTAAATTGCTTGGTATTTTTAACTTTTTCTCTTGTTTTAATTTCGGTTGTTCCGTCCTTGTATGCCACACTAAAACCTTCGTACAATTATCCGCTTTGGGTTCCAATTCTTCGACGGTAACAATACGCTTCAACAGATGACTTTCTTGATAACCCCGAGGAACCGAGAGATCGAACCGAGCATCCGGATACCGAAGAATTAATTCTAGATTGACGGCAAATCCGGCCATGTCGATCGGAAACGGTCTCTCTTTTTTCCACAGAGTATTCCAACCTACGACTTTCCCGTCGCTAACCAGAGGTTTTTCTACAATCAATCCTCCCACCAGGCCAACCGGCCACACGGAAACTTTTCTCGTGGTTCTCATCTCTTCGAACAGTTCTAGATCATAAGTATTATCATCATCGGCAAAATATACCACACCTTTATCCTTTTCTAGAATCAGTTTACTTCGAATCCACTCTAAACCAAGATTTCTCTGCAAGACTCCTCTGGGTTTTAACCAGTTTGGATCTGTTTCTTTCATTTTAAATTCAGCCGGTGTCTTTATATTTAAATGTGTGTAGGGAATTAAAGTATTCTGCAACAACTTGGTAACTAATTCTGTTTTGACTTCATTGTCTTCTACCACTATCCAATGAACACTTGGTACTAATTTAAAGCAGTATGATAGCCTCGTAAGCTCAGCTTTTTGAACTAATCTAGGATATGTCGGTGTAATTATGTATAAAGTAACATCCGGACCATTCAGTAGCTCCGACTGTAACTTATTAACTTCATTATAACAACGTGAATCGACATCAGCTCGACGTATGGCCATATAAAGTTCATTTAAACGAATCTTCTCGCAAGATTTCGAATCTGTCGCATTTAAACAATTCGAGACATACTCGTGTTGGATTATTAACCAAAGAATCACAATAAATACGAATATTAACACTAAAATTCGACGTACTTGAGTGAAATTCCTCAGTTTCATACTCGCTACTCACTGTGCGCTGCCATCTTGTTTACCTCTACGTCACATTACCAACGATGACGAACGGCTCGCGTAACCCAATCGGAACGAAATTTATATCTTGAATCAACCAATAGGAAACGGTTTTTGTTCAAAGGAGCGAGTTTTGTATCTGTTCGAGTTTGAAACTGGCCATTCGATTCTTTAAAGTTCGATTGTTATTTACAAATATACAGTTTTTTAGTTTAATGTATGAAAGAAGACGATCTCAGGTATGAAAATGTTAAGATGTAGAGTTTAAATGTACAAGTGAATAATGAGATTTTTGTCATAATTATAAGTTAGGCCTAATTTCACCGCTAACAATACACATCTGCGAGTAATTGACATAAAATTAACCTTCATTTTTTATATTCTTTTAATAAATTTTCAAAGTTTGCTTGCTTAATAATTGAATAAATGACAAAAATTCTCAATATTTTAAGTGCAAAAAACATCATTCAAAGATTAAAGTGCTTTTAAATTCCATTCTTTTATTCATAATCAAATCTGATATTCTGAACATTCCTCAGAAACTTAACCAGTTACTGCTGTTAAATAATTCATATATTGCATTCCACCAACATATTCATATATGTTTGTGGATTTCTCGGTACATGTACTGCTCCGAATGAGGCAGTCGAGGCGAGTAAATGGAGCTGGTGAGACGTTTTCCAAATAATTTGGATGTTACAAAGGATTTGTGCTCGAATTCGGCCTGAATTCTTGTAATTGGGGTTGTGCCAATAGATGAGATGATGTTACAGTGGTACAATTACACCTCTGAATGAGATAGTTGGGACCAAATGAAAAGTCATGCATTAGTTGTGAACCATACCCCTATGTGTGATACAGCCAGATATAGTCTCCTGAAATTGGCCTACTTTCAGGCTGCATGTGATCGGGAGTCTAGTCACTCCATTATCGCATTTAACTGTTTAGCATACTTGACTATGCCAACTTTGAGAAGTCCACTTGACTGTTGTAGAGAACTTGATGTTATATAGTTTTAGGGGGTGTGGAGTTTGTCCCCATGGGAGCACTGAGATGCAAGTGATAGTGAACACTAAAGTGCGTGACTATGGAGCATTGGTCAATGCTCCATAGTCACGCGTAGAGCATGGAGAATATATAGTAGTATTGGTTCATGTTAAAAACTGACCTTGCATGTATAAGTATGGTTCCATTGACATTTTTGCTTATACAGGGGACCTATAAGTCTGGATGGTGGCAAATCTCTTATTCAGAGTTCACATCTTATTATAACTGCCTTGGATGACAAAATCACTTGAAAGGGCTTGTTTATGATTTATTGTGAGTGGTCTTACACTGGACAACTGTTGTGTGTCTGGTTTTTCTGTATAAAAATTTGTATGACTGTATAGAGATTAGTTACTGTATGTTGTGTATCAAACAATAATAATAATAAGAGTAATTTAAAGTGTCGCAAATTAAATTAAATATAAATTGAACACAGATTAAAAATTGATTGGTCGGTTAAAAATTTAGAATAATATTTATTCGGCTTGAAGTAATATGATGATTCAAATTATAAAGAATTCTAATTACAAAATACAACACTACTTGAAAAATTGGATGCGATACTTCCAAATATTGCACAAAATTCTAATTACAGATATATATGATTTATTATTTGTTGAAATGGCTTCTTATATTGATAAAGAATTGAGAAAAAAGACTTTTTCTCTTTTAACTGCAATTCTTTATCATGTTTAAAGTTCTTATTTGTTAATAAGGTATGATATAAAGAACTCTACTTCTTCTTAGTTTGATCTGAAGAAAAATGTGCTGTAATATGTTTCTTTTGAAAGCCAATATGCTGAAATTTATAGATGATGCAGCAGTATCGGAAAACTGCTTAAGACAATGAAATGTCTGTAAGCAGATCAAATAGTTTAAGAAAGATTGAATGAACATTGTTGATGATAATCATTCTAAATGACTACCAATATCTAATAGTGAAAATAACGGTAAAAACTAATTCAGGAAGATGATGAGAAGTTATAATGAAACAAATACTCCTTCATATAATAATAATGAATTGATTGGAAATGAGATAAAATATTAAAGTTTTGACAATAAATACAATACATATGATGACAAAACAACAATTTAATAATTTAATTTCTTTATTTAATAAGACTTCAAGTTGCTATTGTTAAAAAATCTTTTTGTACAGGCCTATAGCAAATCAATTATAACATACAAAACTTTAAATAGTTTAAAAATAAAATAATTAATTATTGTTTTCAGATTTTTTATATTAAATGTAGTTGCTTTTAGATTTATTCAATGTTATTTTTGTGTTTAAATTACCTCTTGTAATTTAAAGTGCTTGTGAATAAAACAGTTTTAATGATTTTATGATATTGGTCTGTATACAAATTTAATAATTAGAAAACCCAGTTCATGGTTTTGTAAAGATGCATCCAGTCAAAAGAATTGCAAATAGTCAATCAGTATTCATCTGTTGAACTTTGTAACTTTATTTATTTTGATGTGTTCTGAGGCATCACTGACAGTTCACTGCTGGCTGTCTACGCTGTAACACTGCATGTGCCAACTCCTCTCATGAGCATTCTAAATGTTTTCTGTGTTTTTTGCTTAAACAATTTTATCATTTGTCTTTAAGAAAAAGAATTTTATTATTTATTGTATACTTCTAAGAATATATTATATTTTATATAATTTCTTCAACATTTTTAACAAACATATAATAAGTAAACAAAATGTAAAAAAATTTTTGGCACACAACTAGTGAGAGAGATTGCTTCCCATAGGGAAGTGAATGTGTTTAATTTTGACATGTTTTAGCATATCCTTCATCAGACTATACAATTAAAGTTTTAATAGGTCACGACCTTAATTATATTTGCTCGAACAATCACAATTTACTTACTAAATTGTTATTGATGACAGCTTATTGTTAGATGCCATTTTTTAAATATAATTAAAAAATATTGGGTGGATTCTGGCTGCTGAATAGTTTTAAACTTATTCAAATCAAATCAATAAGTAATACTGTAATCTGTTATTACAAAGAATTGTTTTTAGCCCTTGGTATAATTAAATTAATTAAATATCTACTAATGTGGGGTGGATAATAATAAGGACCAGCAATGATAACCATAAACACTCAGGTATCAATGTAATACAGGTAACCCCCGTATAACACGGTAGTTACGTTCCAAAAAATTGCCGTGTTATGCGAATCCGTGTTATGCGAAACAAAGAACTAGTACGAAAAAGAGGGTTAGGTTCCAAAAATTAAAAAACATGCTACTATATTTTCATAATTAAGATAAATACCTTTATTAAAATTTTCTTAAGTGATACATATTAATATAAATTAAACAATGTTTTCTTTGTCATCAC